TTTTTCTTATTTTGTGACAGAGTGAGAGAGTGAGAGTGAGTGAGTCAGTCAGTGAGTGAGAGAGTGAGTGAGTCAGTGAGTGAGTGAGAGAGTGAGTGAGTGAGAGAGTGAGTGAGTGAGAGTGAGTGAGAGTGACAGAGTGAGAGAGAGTCACATTATTCTTGTTGTTCCGTGTCTTACACTCTCCCTTGTCTCCCTTCACCCACATTTATGTTCTTCGCCCCCCCCCCTGTGGAGGGTGGGGTGGGGCGGGCTGCAGGGCGCTTCTGCTCTGTAGCTTTGAGTACAGCACCCCAGCACCTTTTAGAGTTCCATGCACGTGCAGATCTGGAGAACAGAACCAAGGGGAAGGGAAAACTGGGAGGGGATAAAGTAACCAGACGGGCTGGGGCTTGATAACCGGTGAGGCTGGATAACGGATACATGGGTGCTCCTTATATTACTCTGTGCGCTTTTCCTCTATGTTGAAATGTCCAAAATAAAAGTAACCCCCCCAAAGTGGGGTAAAGCCCTGTGACCTCCCCCCATGCCCCTGTCACCAAGGAGAGGGGGCTGAGTATAACCTACAGCAGCAGAGGATGCTGCTGGGCCAGTAACCCAGGGCTTTGGGGCTGGCTCCCCTGAAGCGGCTGAGGATCCCCCCCAAGGGGAAGTAGCCGCCGCTTTCCAGAAAGGAAGGCCTCCGTGAGCCTGGTGGCACTGGGTATAGGCACTGCCACCTTAAGACAGCTGAGGGTGTGAGTGGGTGGTTCCAAAAATAGCAGGGGAGGCGGCAGAGGGGAGTCACATGGAGCAGCCAAGAGGCTGAAGCCTGGGCAGCAGGCCCAGAGCCCTCCAACTCCCCCTGTGCCTCCAGAGTGTTCCCCCAGGCTTGCCCTCTGGGTCAGAGAAGGCACGGGGAGGGGAGGTGATATGGGGACAAACACCATGCCACTTGAGTGGCCGAGTGGACGCTGACTCTGGGATTTGGTGACTCTCCAGGGACAGGGATGGGTGGGACGGTCAGGTGGAGACGGAGAGGAAGGGACAAGGGCTAAGTCGCCTACCCAGGAGTCATCCTCATCTGCAGATGAATGCCCTCTCCCTGAAGCTCGACCTTGGGCAGGTTTCAGATGTCCTTGGCCTGGGGTGTTTGTTCAGAAGTGAGGTGGGTGTCATCTGTGGTCCTGTAGCTCTTGAGAGATTCACATAACCATCCACCCACAAGGGTGGTCTCTGACACCCACCAGCCAGTCCCTGCCTCCCTCTCAGGGCCCCTGGGGAGGAGTCCCTTTGCTCTGAATGCGGGGAGGGAAGGAGACCCCTCCATTCCAGCTCCAAGATGCAGGAAGGAAGGAAGATTTCGCCCAGGAGACAAGTTTGTCAACAGCTGCTGGGATTGGGCTTTAGTCACAAAAGTGCTTTCCGTACAGGTGCTTCCCTAGTGTGACTCTGGAGAAGTGATGCGCCCTGCCGAGCCTCAGTTTTCTCATCTGTAAAATGGGGGTGCTAGCAACACGCCCTGCTTCGTGGCACTGCTGTGGGGATGGAAGCAGTTCATATGTGGGACCTTCCATAAAAGCTATGATACACTAGCAGCCCAGAGCTGCTGTTAGGCAGGCTACTAATTAGTACCATTCCTCTTAATAGGCAGTCTCTAGCAGGTCAGGGGTTTGCTCTGCCCCCACTCCCATGCCTGGTACATAGTAGTTGCTCAGGAAATATGTGCTGAATTCATGTCTTGTCCGTTGCTCACAGAGAGTGAGCTGAGCGGGGAGCGTTATTCTCACCCCTTTGCAGCGATGGAAACAAAGGCCCAGAGAGGCTGAGTGACTGACTGGATCCAGGCCACGCCTCCAGTGAGTGGGCCAGTGGGATCGGCCAGGCCTGGCTCTGCTTAGCCTCTGGTCACAGGGCCTTTGAGCCAGTGAGGGCACCCCGTCGTCCATTTACCTGGCTGGTCCTGTCCTGGGGTACTGGCTGGGAACCTGGTCTGGGGTGAGGGTTGTGATCTTAAGCACCTGTCACGCTACACCTGCTGTGGTCCAAGGACACAAAGGTCTAAGAATCTAGTCTTCAAGGTGGGGACCCTGGGTGGTGCACACTGTGAAGCGCTTGACAACGAATTGAAAGATTGGCCATTCCAATCCGCCCACAAGTGCCTCCAAAGCGCTTCCAATCGAGCACCCAAACCCAAGTCACTGCCATCAAGTCAATTCTGAATCACCGCCACCCTGTGGGACAGGGTAGAACTGCCCCGGTGAGTTCCCGAGACTATAACTCTTTACAGGCCCAGAGAGCCTCATGTTTCTCCCCCAGAGAGGCTGGTGGTTTCGAACTGCCGACTTTGCAGTTGGCAGCCCCATGAGTAACCACTACCCCACCAGGGATCCTTCCACCTGGGACCTGGAGGAGGGCACTCCTCCTCTGACATACATCGGGGTCTAGTCTGTGGCAGCTGGTCTGGATTGGAGGTTTAGTCACCAAAGAGCAGAGAGCCCCCACAGTGCTGGGCGGATGGGGTTGGAACAGGGGCTGTCACCGGTTAAGGACTGTGTTAGTCTGGGTTGACTAGAGAAACAAATTCACAGATACTCATAGGTATATGAGAAAGAGCTTTATATACAAGTGCAATTGAATATTGAGAAAACATCCCAGCCCAGTCCAGATCAAGTCCTTAAGTCTGATATTAGCCCATATGTCTGATACCAATCTATAAATTCCCCTTCAGACTCACGAAACACATGCAATGATGTCAAATGCAGGATGATCACAGGCCAGTGGGTGGAAAGTCTTGTGGATCCAGTGGCGTTGTAAGCATCTCAGCACTGGCAGGGGTCTCCACGTGGTTTCTCCAGCTCTGAGGCTCTGGCTGCCATCAGCCTGTCTCCATGTGGCTTGTTAACTTGAGGATGTCTCCCAGGGACTGAGCAAGTGTCCTGCAAGCTATTTATCTCCTTAGCACCTCCGAGTGGTCATCAAGCTGCATCTGACTGACAGGCGAAACTTCACCCCTTCACTCTGAATCCTCAAATTGACACCAGATTATGTAACTATCACAAGGACTATCATCCAGCCCTAGCCTACCTTCCTCCCTGTGTGTTGTTAACCTGCCTCACACTGCACTGGGACTGCCCTGCAACCAACCTCGGTGGAATTTTTACAGTGTTCTGCATTGCCCAAAGATGGAGATATTATGCAGGCTGTCTGGGCAATCCCACCCAGAGGGTCCTGCTGGACAACTGGCCTGCTGGGTCGGGAAGCTATTGAAGAAAGTGGCCTCTTACTGTCTTATCTGATTGCCATGGTGATCATCTTGTGACCTGAGGAACCGAAAGCACCTGGAAAGGACATGATGGCCCTGTGACACACCCTCCCCCTCTCCCCCCAGGCTGTGCCTCTGCATCCCAGTGTGAATGGATGTAAAGGACTCCCTGAGGACAGACTCCCAGCTGCTATTGCTTTCTCAGCAAACCTGTCTCCTCCCCTACGTGGAGGTGGTGGATTGGCTCTGCTGTTCCAGGGCACAAACCCCCCTGAGTGAGGGCCAGTGGGATGTGCCCAGGAGCGGGAGGGGCATCCAGTTCGGCTGGGGTGGGGTTGGGAAGGTCAGCTAGGCTTCCGAGAGGAGTGGTACCTATGCCCAGCCCAGTCTTGTAGGCCAGCCTGCTGCTTGAACGGGCGCAGGAAGGGAACTCCAGAGAGAGGCTGGGCAGCCCTCCTGAGGGGGAAGCAGGGTGCAGAGAGAGGGGAGCGAGGATTCTGGATGGGAGATGGCATTGCCAGGTCTCTGGAGGAGGGCCTGGGCTGACCGACATGCCCTGAAATGGGTGACTTTGATGAACAGAACAGACCTCTGTTTTCTCACCGTTCGGTGCAGGAGGCTACACGTCTACATTCAGGCGCGCGCTCCGTCAGGCCTCTTCGTTTTGCTGGTGCATCGGGCGAGCATTTACAGAGCAGACCGTCGTTTCACCTCCGACAGTTCATTGCCCGATCTCCTTCACAGCAACCCCGCCATGTGGCATCACTGGCCCACGTTCTCCTCCTGCTTCCCCTCTTCCCCTCACTCCTCTCCTCTGCCTTCGTCCTCGGGAGAAGGCTGCCCTTGGAGCTCAAATGGCTGTTGCTACTGCTGCTGTCGGTTCCTTAGTTCCTTTTCATTTTCCTCGGTTCTCCGGCAACCCCCCGGGCAACTATCTTCCTCCATCTCTGCTCTGCGCCCTGACCTGCTCATTTACACACTCGAGGACACTCAGACAACCCCCCCCAACCAACGGCTGGGTTCCTTCTGACTCCTAGTGCCCCTAGAGGACAGCGTAGAACTGCCCCTTTGGGTTCCTGAGGCAGCCTCATGTCTCTCCTTCCGAGCAGCTCCTGGGTTTGAATTGCTCATCTTGCAGTTTATAGCCCAACACATCCCCCTCCATGCTCCCTGTCCCCACAGGGCCCCCAGAGCTGTCATCTTTCTCTTGCAGAGTGGCTGGTGGGGTGCAGCTGCCAACCTTTGACCTCTCAGTGAGCGGCCCCAGTGCTTAACCACTGGTATCGCCAGCCCCCAGCCCGCAACCCCCTGCTGCCATCCAGTGGATTCAGACGCTGCTGCTCAGGACCCTGTATCGGGTGTCTGAGATTGTGAGTCTGTACGGGAGCTGACAGCTTCCTCTTTCTCCCAAGAGCGGCTGGCGGGCTTGAACCACCAACCTACTGGTTAGCAGCCCAGAGCTTAAGGACACCACCAAGGTGCAGGAGTCAGGATGATTGAGAATACGTGTTTCTGGAGACCCAGTTCTCTAACACTCACCATTGGCAGCTGGGGCATTTGAGGGCAGTGACAGTATTAGGGCTTCAGGGGGCACTGATGTCATCAGGCTGGCATTTCAGAAAAGAGATTCTGGGCACTGGGCAGGGGTGGAGGGACATTGTCCTGTGAGGACAGGCCGGCGTGCTCTGCGCGGGGATGGGCAGGGCCCAGCTGCTCCTGCCTCTCCCTCTGCCCGCCTTCTCCCTGCTCTTGTCCCTGTCACTCAAGGGGCTGGCCAGGCCCCGGGAAGCCATGGCCGCAGGGCTGATCTGGACGCTGCTTCTTATGGGCAAGCCGGGGCCCCTTCAGGGGTGGGGTGTAGGAGGGAGGGAGGATGGACATTTAGGAGGTTCTTCAGGGAGGGAGGACTTTGGGGTGTTGACAGCCTGCGGCCGGGGGTCTGGGAATGGGCTGGGGGGTGTGAGGGCTGGGGCTGTCCTGGAACCCCTGGGCCCTTTAATGGGCAGGCTGGCTTGCAGTCACTTGTATCCAGGCCCAGGCTAAATTTGGCCCTGAGCGAGGGCGGGTGCCAGGCAGGCCCAGGGTCCTGCTCAGATGCTGGGCCCCTGGCTCAGCTCCTCCCTGGGCATGAGGAGAGGGGCATGTGACCAGGCGCAGAGAGCCCCTCTCTCCCCAGCCTCCTTTGAACACACATGCAAATTCATCCCAACTTCAGGGCTGTCTTCCGGGACATGACTCTGACAGGGCCCTAAATGGAGTCCCTCCATGAGTCCCAGTGAAGAAGCCAGGTCCAGCAATGGTCATGTTACTGACCACGTGGGGACCCAAGGAGCTTATCCTCTGGCCTATGTCTGAGTTGGTCCTCGCGGGGTGGGGCGGGGGGTGCTGGGGTCTCATAGGCCTCCTGGCCAGCCTGGCGGGCACCCAGACCCAGCAGCTCACTCTGCACCCGACGGTGGGCCGCCTCTTTGTGCACACCCTGGACCACGCCACCTTCCTGCGCCTTCCTGAGCAAGTCGGTAAGCCTGCCTGAGTTCCAGGGAGCCCTGGCCCTGCCCCTCCCGCGGGGGTTGGGGAAGGTTCTGCCTGGAAGCCCCTCTTCTCTCCTCCACCAGCAGTGCCACCCTCCGTCCGCATCACCTACCACGCCCACCTCCAGGGACACCCAGACCTGCCCCGTTGGCTCCGCTACAGCCAGCGCAGCCCACGCCAGCCTGGCTTCCTCTATGGCACCGCCAGCCCAGAGGATCGCGGCCGGCAGGTCATTGAGGTATCCGCAGGGACCCTGCTGGGCTGTGTGCACCCCTCAGAGAACCCAGGGGACTCCCTGAGCCTCTGATGATCCCACCGTGCTTGCTCGCAGTCAGTGGCTCACCAGGACCCCACAGTGTGTCAGAGGAGGACTTTTACTCATTTTCTTTTTTTAACAAGTAGATCACCTGGCCCTTCTTCCGAGGCACCCCTGGGTGCATTTAACAATGAACTGTGCACGTCACCCAGGAACTCACACAGACGAGTGTGGTAGTGGAGGTCTCCTCCCCAGCCCCACCCCCCTCTTCCTGTAGGTGGTAGCCTATAATCGGGAGAGCTTCGAGACCACCCAGCAGAGACTGGTGCTGCTGATTGAGATCTCGGAAGGTACCCCCAGCCCACCCTTGCCCCACCTGCTGGGATCTCTTGAAGGTGGGGGCTAGGGGGAGTTGTTGGAGGGAGAGGCTTGGAGAGGTCAGGTCAGGGCATCCTGGAAAGTGGGGGCTCTAGGAGGCGATGTCCCCTGGTGTCAGAGTTCCTCGGGGCCTGACCTCTCTGCTGACAGACACTGTGGCCTTGGGCAAGTGGTGGAGGCAGTGTGGCACAGCCTGGTTGGAGGGCAGGGTGTTGGGAGAGGCAGGGAGGAACTGGGAGCCGGGCGGTGGGGGGTGCAGAACTGGAGCTGGGGCTAGCCTGAGGTGCCCGCCTGGCCCTTCCAGGCCCCCCACTGCCGTACCAGGCGGAGTTCCTGGTGCAGAGCCACGACGTGGAGGAGGTGCTGCCCTCAGCGCCCGCCACCCTCTTCCTCACGGCCCTGGGGGGCCTCTGGGAGCCAGGCGAGCTCCAGCTTCTCAACATCACCTCGGCCTTGGACCGTGGGGGCCGCGTACCCCTGCCCATCGAAGGCCGGAAGGAAGGGTAGGTGTTCAGCCCTTGCTTCCACCAGAGGAGAGGCTTGTCTGCCACTGGCTTGTGGGCTTAGAAGAGAGGTCCCTCCCCCGCCCCACCCTGACCTTGTAGGACAGGGTGGAATCGTCAAGGCTGTGGTCTTTAGGAAAGCAGCAGTGGGTTCCAACCACCAGGTGGAGGTGGGCTGGCCCACTCTGGGCAGCCTCGCCCCTTCCCCTGTGCCTCCCAGCAGCACACCACCGCCCACCCTGCCCTGCTCTTGCCCACCTGGTCCAAACCCAAGTCCTTCTGGAGTCTGCTCTTCCCAATGCCCGTGAGGACCTGGGGGCATTCCTGCAGGTCCAAGGCTCCCTGCCAGTTCAAGGTCACGCCCACAAGGCTGTGGGAAAGTTCTACTGGCTTTGGTTCCCATTCTCTCAGGAACTTTCAGAAATCCCCCCATGGGTGTTCTCTTCTCTGACCCCTACCCGTACCTCACTCACAGGGGCTTCTCTCTGGGCTCAGGGTGTACATCAAGGTGGGCTCTGCCTCCCCTTTCTCCACCTGCCTGAAGATGGTGGCGTTCCCCGACAGCCGGGCCCGCTGCGCCCAGGGCCAGCCTCCACTTCTGTCCTGCTACGACACCTTGGCACCCCACTTCCGTGTTGCCTGGTGCAATGTGACCTTGGTGAGGAGGGTCCCTGGTGGTGGGTGGGGCTGAAGCATGGTTCCCCAAATAGTATGTAAACACACACACACACACACACACACACACACACACACACACACACACACGAAGTTCTATCTCCTACCACAAGAGGGAGACAGAGTCCACAATCCAGACGTGGCCTCTGGGGCCAGTCTGGAGCAAGGACCAGAACAATTCATCCTTCCCCACCAGCCCTTTCCCCACCAAAGACCTCCGAGGTCTGACAGTTCCGTCTCCGTCCTTCATGGGTGTCTCCTCCCTAGCCTGCCTGTAATAACAAAAAACCCAAACGGAGCCCATTGCTGTCCAGTGGGGATGTTGTCTTTAGGTGTCATGCCCCACAGAGCGAAACCCCGCCGTCCTCACAATCATTCCCTGCTTGAGCCCAACATTGCAGCCACAATGTCAGTCCAGCTCCGTGAGGGTCTTCCCCTTTACTGAACAGGACACCCTCCTTCAGGGACTGCTCTCTCCTGACAACCCGTCCAAAGTTCCAGCCTCCCCTTTAAGGAGCACGCTGGCCCCAGGCCACCCTACACGATAGAAAAGGACTACCCCAAGGAGGGCCAAGGCTCTGAGTCTGTACAGAAGCAGTGGTCTCGTCCTTCTCCCTGGGAGTGGCCACTCGTCCTTCTCCCTGGGAGTGGTCAGTGGGTTCCAATGGCCAACCTACAGGTCAGCGGGACAGTGCTTAAGTCCTGTGCCACCAGGGTAAGGCGTGACCAACTCTCACCCTTATTTTGTATGCACCCACGTCAGTTGTCATTTCTCTTTGGGATATGAAACTGGCATTTGGGATATTGGAGTGTCTAGATTCTCCGATTAGGAAGGTTCTCAACCTTCCTAATACCCTGACCCTTTAATACAGTTCCTCACCTTGTGGTGACCCCCCAACCATAAAATTATTTTTGTTGCTACTTCATAACTGTCGTTTTGCTGTTATGAATTGGGTGACCCCTGTGAAAGGGTCATTCGGCCCACAAAGGGGTTACGACTCACAGGTTGAGAACCACTGGTAAAGAGAAGCTTCCCCCGGTGGCGCTGTGGGCAGCCAACTGCAAGGTCAGTGGTTCAAGCTAACAGAGCCCTACTGGCACGATGGTGATATGCTTGGCGGCTCCCCAGAGGGCTGGGCAGTTTGAATTTCCTACCCAGTGCCCACTGCAAGACCATCTGCTTCTGAAAGAGGATGGCAAGAAAACCCACGTGGTGGCTCTCGTCTGTCACACGGGGTCGCTATGAGTCGGCATCAACTCCACGCACCAATGACGACCCAGGGCCCGGAGACCTGAGTCCCTTCTGGGAACCGCTGGGAAGCTCTGTCCCTGTGGAGGGGCTGGTTTGAGTCACCCGGCAGGGATTGGGGATGGGCAGTTTTCCTGAGCACTTGCTATGTGCCGCCGACCATCCTGGGAGAGACAGGCCCACCAAAGCCCTACTCGCCCATAGTCAAGATTTGAACCCAGGCTTCGGGGCCCCAGAGCTCTGCTCTAACTACTGTCCAGTCCTGCCTCTCTTCCAACTTGACGCTCCAACTGGCTCGGCCACTGCTTGTCCTGATCAGTCACATGGGCTGGGGGAGGCAGGCGGGAGGAGGAACCTACCATGGCTCCTGGGGGTTCTCTGTGCCCAGTCAGGCATGCCTGGTCAGTTCTGGGTTCTCGGGGCAGGTGGACAAGTCAGTGCCAGAGCCCGCCGGCGAGATGCCCACCCCAGGCGACGGGATCCTGGAGCACGATCCGTTCTTCTGCCCACCCACGGAGGCCACAGGCCGCGACTTCCTAACGGATGCCCTGGTCACCCTTCTGGTACCCCTGCTGGTGGCCCTGCTGCTCACGCTGCTGCTGGCCTATATCATGTGCTGCCGGCGGGAGGGACGGTGAGTGTCGTCGGGGAAGCGGGCAAGGGAGGGCAAGGAGGATGGCTCTCACGTCTGAGGACCTTGTGGCCCTCCCCCTGCTGCCCGGGGACCCAGACGCCTCGGGAGTGGGCTCCCCCACCAGAAGAGGATGGCACCAAGCCCACCTAGCCCTCCGGTCCGGCCCCCTGGACCAGGAGACATCAGTGTGCCAATGAACCCCTGTGGCACAGAAGTCAAGGCCCAGAGCTGGCTAACCCCCTCCTTGCTTCCTGCAGGCTGAAGAGAGATCTGGCTTCCTCTGAGTGAGTAGGGGAGCTGAGGGCAGGGCGGGAGCTCCTCCGGGCCCCCGAGCAGCATGGCTAACCTAAAGGGCTCTGGTTGCTAGGTGCCTCCTTGTGACCTCTTCACCCTACCCAGGACTGGCTGGGTGCTAGCTCTGACCTCCTTGCCTTGCTGCTGCTTTTCTGGGATAAGTAGAAGAGTCGGATGTGGGACAGGGCAGGGGCTCTGGCCTAGCTTTGGGGTGTGCTGCCTACTGAGGTGGGAGAAGGGTTTGAGAATGAGTGTAAGACGCTCACAACACACATGAGCATGCGCGCACACACACACACACACACACACACGCACCCCACTTTAACACGAGACTGACACCTGGGTCCCCACCTGCCAGCTCTGCCGCATCATTACTTGGTGCCCCTGCAAAACACACCTCACCTGGCAGGTGGTACTGGGCATGGAGGGACGCTCTGTGCCTCAGGCCCTGCCTCCAGCTGCCCCCACCTTCATTTGCCTGAGACCTCCCTCCCCCATGCGTACCCTCCCCCCTCCCTCCCATGTCCTTGGGCCCCAGAGGCTCCTGAGGTCAGTGGTCAATCACGGGCTCCTTTTATTGGCTGGGCACTGAGTCTGCAGCGGCTGTCCGCCGGCTTGGCCCGACTCCTTAATGGCCGCCGCATCTTCTGGCCACCCTGCGGACACTATTTTGCCTTTGTCTGGAGCCCAGTAGTGACCAGCACTTTCCTGGCCGCCTCTGCCCAGGTGGCCGCTGCCCAGGCCTCCGCTGCCTGGGCCGCCGGTGCTGCCGTCTCTTGACGTGGACCTTGGCCTTGGCAGACTTCTTCTTGCCCATGCGGAAGGAGCCAGAGGCCCCCTTGCCGGTCACCTGCTTGAGCATGCCCTTGTCCACCAGCCCCTTGAGCACTCGCTTGAAGTGCAAGGCATTGTGGGCCATGTCGTAGCCCGCTTTGGCCACAGCCTTCTTCAGGGTGGCAAGCGACGTGCGGAGGCGTGCACCCTTTTGGGCCACTGCCCCCAGGATCACCTGGGACATGCTGGTCTTCTTCCGCTGGGCCCTGGGAAGGGCTCCGGGCCCCGGCTCGCTCTTGTTAGGGATGCTGGACACGCTGGTCAGCCGGCTCCTGCCAAGGGCAGTGGTGGAGGCCAAAGGCATAGTGGGGGGTGGCAGCGAGGTGTCTTTCTGCATCTCTCCCTGCAGTGGGTGAAGGGAGCTGGGTGTGAGGGCCTCCAGGGTGGCGGCCGCCAGTCTCCCCTGGACTGCTCCTCGGTGGCTGAGAGAAGTGTGCGTCCCCTCAGAGGTCCACACCATCCCCTGGGTGGCCAGAGAGAGGAGCTTTGCCCACAGCTGGCCTCACCGACTGGTGCCCGGAGTGCAGGGGGCAGCAAGGTTATCTTAGCAGTGACCTCAGGGGGCTATTGTGAGGCTGCCAGAATCCTTTGGGGGTCACAGTAGCCCCATTGTTCCCCCACTAGGAGGGGTAAGTGGGAGAGGTCAGATTGAAGGGCATCTGAAATCCCAGGTACCTTGGGGAGGAGGGCTAGGGCCGCGGGGCCCACAGGGGTTGTGCGCACATTTGAACGCACCACACGCGTGCCTGTGTGAGCCAATCTCAGGATAGTCTGCGGCCCCGTGTTAGACCTGCCATTTGACCCTGCCATCTCAACCCACCGGGGGTTGGAGTCTCTGGGTTGAGGGATGTTATGTTTGAACACCAGACTTGCATCGGGGAGCTGACACTCACGGGTGGAGTCACCCTGGGTCGGAATCCCCTAGCCAGTCACGGGGTGGGAATTTTTATGGTGGACTTGTTTTCCAGAGAGAACAGATCGATCGTGCTTTGATCAACTTTCTATACCAAACAGTTACAAGACCATGATTGAAAAAACAGACAAACATTTTATTGGGGGCTCGTACAGCTCTTAACGCAATGTAGACATCCATCCATTGGGTCAAGCACATTTATTTGTACATAGGTTGCCATCATCATTTTCAAAGCATTTTCTTTCTACTTGAGCAATTGATATCAGCTCATTTACCTTCCTCCCTTCCCCTCCCTCACGAGCCCTTGATAATTTATAAATGTATAACCCCCCCCATGTGACCACGATTTTTCTCCCTTCTGTTATCATTTTTTAAAAGAGAGGTCTGCCCCTCACCGGGAGCGATGATTGTCCGTGTACGTTTTAACCGGAGAGGATTTTGTTCATCTGTTTTGGCCACATTAGGGGTCCTGGTGGCATCGTGGGGTCCTATGCAGGGCTGCTACCCACAAGACTAGCAGTTGGCACCCACCCTTGGGTGCAGAAAGAGGGGCTTTCTGCTCCCGTGAAGAGTTTCTGTCTAGGACACACACGGGGCTCTTCTGCCCTGCCCTCCCAGAGGTCCTGAGTCAGAATGGACTTGCGATCCGTGAGTTTGGGTTTGGGACTTTGTGGCCCCACGTTTGACCAATTAGAGCTTCTGTCACTGTGGGTCTTCTCTTGGGACCAAACTTTCTACCTCACCCAACTTCCCAGGACCCATTCTGTCTGTCTGGGTTTTCTCTGGAAAAGTGCTTCCTCCCTGCGTATGGCAATAATAACCAGTCTTCCCGTGTGTGGTGTTCCTCTGCGTCCATTTGAGTTGGGCGGTGCTCTGTTTTATAGAAGCCCAGTTTGTGCCCTGGTTCACGGGCTGCTGGTTTGCAGATTACGCACAAGTTGGGGTTCTGCGCCTGTGTTCCTTTGCCATCACACTTCACCCCCACCGAGCCCTCCAGGGCCCCGGCCCCCCCCTCCCCTCCCCCCGTGAGTCTGAGAGTCAGGGGCAGGGTGCGAAGGCCTGTCGGGGTTGTGGCGTGGGACTTGGGGCCTCCAGGCTCCCTGACAGCCCCACCCACAGTGGGGTGTGTGCATGTGCGTGTGTGCATGACAGGGATGCCGGCCCTTTGTCCAAGTGCTGATGTGGAAGGATTGTGGGGGGAGGCGCCGTGACTCTGGCCTCTGCTTTTGCTTTAGAAAAACATCCCAGAACTTTTTTCCATCTGTGTGAGTTACCAAAGTAATGAGACCCAGATGTGGACTGCAGGGCCCAGGGAGGGGTGGGGCTGGGCTTTCAAGAAGGCCCTTTCCCCACCAGGGGCATTACCGACCTGGCTGGCAGGCTCCACACACGTCTCCCTCCCGTCCCCTGCAGCATCCCCTTACCCGGGGATGGACAATTGTGTTGTGGACGAGTCAGCTTGCCAAATTCCAGACTCCAGCGCTCGTCTCCCCCCTCCCCCAGACTTAGACAGCGACTCCACTTCTCCTGTAGTCTCCAAAACTATAACTCTCTAAGGAAGTAGAAAGTCCTATATTTCTTCCTCATAGTAGCTGGTGGTCTCAAACTGCTGACCCTGTGGTTAGCAGCCCAATTCATAACCACTATCCCACCAATTTGTTTCAGTGAAGTCTTAAAAAAAAAAGTAGGTCAAATGAGATAGTTTCAGTTCTGCCTGGACCCCTGGTCATTCCAGGAAAACCCAATCTTCTGCTTCTGCTGAAAAGTCCCTGCTCCAGTCTGTCTGATCTAGCAACCCCGGAGTCTGGGAAACCTCCACGGGTTTGAAAACACCCTCCTCTGGAGGCCAGGCTCATGGGAGGAGCTCGCTGTAGTACAATCACGCCAGCGATGGGCACAGAAGCTTTTGCCTAACAGTGCTGCCATTGGCTGCATGCTGACCAGGTGATGCATCTGCGCGCGTGCGTGCGTGCGTGTGTGCGTGTGTGTGTGCGTGCGTGCGTGCGTGTGTGTGTGTGTGTGTGTGTGTGTGTGTTTCTTATATCAACTATTTAATTCATGCAACAACTTGAATTGGGAAGTGGAGTGATTTTCCCAAGGTCACCCAGCCAGGAAGTAGTGGCACCCAGATTCAAGCCCAAAGCAAGACCCTTGGCCGAAGTGCTGTGCTGCCCTGGCACTCGGCGTCAGTCCTGGCAGCAGAGAGCCAGCTAGCAGAGCACCACGTGGGAGATCGGGCTATGTGTCCTGAGGACAGGGAGAGAGACTTCCAGAGGAACTTTCGGATGGGTGTGGCCATCCGCCCACTCCAGGCTGCTGAGGTTTCCCTGGGTGCCCTGGGGAACCAGGGGAGACAGAGCAGGAGCAGGAGCATGGGGGAAGGCCCATGCTGGGGTACAGCTAGGAAGGGGTTCAAAGAGTGAGGACAGGTCTGAAAAGCCACGGGATGGGATGACCAGGGGCTGGCAGGGGATGGGAGAAGCCCTTCCTGGGAGGGGAGCAGCTTGGCTGAAGGCTAAGAGGTCTGAACAGGTGCTGGGAGTGAGGCCCGCTGGGGCAGCAAAGGGACAGGAGCAAGGGTGCTCAGGGGCAGGGGCCCAGAGCGATGTCAGACCATGCAGCCCACCCTGTAGATACAGGTCTGGGGGCCTGTATCCGCCGAGGGTATTGGGACCCGTCTTAGGATCTTGTGAGCACAGACCATGTGCAAGGTGCTGTTCTTGGCCCCAACTTTTCTCATCCACGCTGCACCGCGATCCCACACAGGGGGTGCTGTTAGCATCCCCATCGACAGCTGATGAGACTGGGGTGTAGGGTGGGCAAACCCAGGCACAGAGCTCTGAATCCACGTGGTCTCCCTGGAAGCTGGGCCTCACTCAGGGGCTCTGAGGGAGCACCAGGAGTTTTGGGGTGCTTGAGTTTCCCCCACGAGGGGTGAGTCAGGGGGAAGTGGCCTCCCAGGCCACCAAGCATCTCCCACACCCTGCTGCCCCCAGCATCCAGATGGTTCACCATGGTACCATCCGAGAGAACACGGAGGAGCTGCGGCAGATGGCAGCCAGCCGAGAAGTGCCCCGGCCACTCTCCACCCTGCCTATGTTCAACGTGCGCACGGGCGAGCGGCTGCCTCCCCGTGTGGACAGCGCCCAGGTGCCCCTCATCCTGGACCAGCACTGAGGGGCCAGTCAGGTGGGTCCAGCTGGGCAGCACTGGCCCCCTCTTCTGGGTGGGAGTCAGTGGTGAGGTGGGGGGCCGAGGTCACAGACCCGTCTGCCTGTGAGGTCAGCAGTGGTCCGAGGTCAGGGTGGGGGAGGCAGGAGAGCCAGAGTCTTCCCTCATGGACCCCAACTCTATCTCCCCCTGCTGTCTGTGTCCAGCTCAGGCCTCAATTTGCCTTCTGGTCCCACACAGAGAGTGGCCATGTCACCTGGGACCTGTGGACCCTAGCTCCTGGCTCACGACCCAGGCTGACAACCTGCAAAGATGGGGGCATGGGGGGCTGTCTGGGGCCAGGACCATGGAATAAATGCATCTGCTCTGACCCCTTGTTGTTGCTGGGGTCTCTCACTGCCGTCACCGTCTCTGTTTGTCTTTCTACCCCTGGGGTGGGGGGTTGGGGGTAGGAACGTCCCAGGCCAGCTCTGGCCTTGGGGCCCTAGCAGCACCTTCTTCCTAGCTCAGCTTCCAAGGAGCTGGCTGTCGGCCTCAGAGGAAGTGGCCCAGACAAGTCACTGGGAGGCTGGCATGATGGCAGACACAAGAGCTGTGCCCAGCACTCAGGCACAGGCCCCAGGTGTCCTGGCAGATAGGGCACCCCTCTCTCCCTGGGCACTTAGCCCCTAAATCTGATGGGTGAGATTCTATGCGGTAGTCACCACCCCCCCTGCCACCACATAGGCCAAGAACCAAGGACTAATTGGGGTGACCATCCTGTCCCTCCCACCACCAGCCCCAGGACAACAGCCACCTCCGCCCTTCCACTCTGCCCCCGCTCCAGCCCAGACCCAGGCAGTGCCTTTATGCCCAGCCTGTGGCCTCCACCTTCATGCCACGTGGCCCGACGCTCCAGACAGCTGTGCCAGGCACCCAGCCAGACCTGCAGAGGCAGGACACCACCAAACACTGGCCCCAGCCCCAGGGGGACACGTCTCCCTGACTCACGATGGGTGGAGAGCGAGCTCACCCCTGCCCACAGAGCACCCCAGGCCCACACCCCTCAGTGAATGGGGGCTGGGGTCAGGCAGAGCAGAGCACCCCCGGAGCTCTGCAGGTGACAGCTGCTTACCCGGCAGAGTAAGCAGATGACGTGCAGGACTGCTTGGGGGGCGTTGTGAGAATTTGAGAGAATCCAGTAAATAGCTCCCATGCAGGGCTGCATGACCACAGCTAAACACTCACAAACCCACACCACACCCAGGAGTCCGTGGGGTCTCGGTGCCCTGGAAGACCCAGTGAGGTCGAGCTGCATTGCCACGCTGGGGAGCCCTGGTGGTATATGGTTACAGCTTGGGCTGCTAGCCGCAGGTGTTAGGTAGCTAGCTAGCTTAGAAACGGGGTTGTCCCTCCCATGCCTGCAAAGGCCCCCATAGAGGTTGGAAAGAAGACGCCTATGAAGATCCCAAACTGAGGCTGCTCATACTCAAGCCCCCAAGCCAGGTGGGAGGTACACCTGGGCAGACCAAACTAGACCCAGGCTCGTGACATCACCCAGGTGGGCCTAACTCAGCCAATGGGGTCAACCAAATACCATTAACCACGCCTTCCCCCAGCCAGCAGGTGGGCCAGGGGAAAGGCAGGGAGCATGCTCTGGGACACTCTCTTACCCTGCTCCTGGTCAGAGGCAGGGAGAGGGGTAGGGTCTCCCTTCCCTGCTCGGTGCACATGTCCCACTCGGGGCCCACAGCCTCCAGGGTTGTTGGGCTTCTGGCCTCCCAGGGTCCTCCCCATTTCTGCACATGTGGGTGCTCTTTTCCACGTGGTTGTTCGTGCTCAGCTGTGAATCCCTTGGAGACAGTCACACCTGAAACTTGTCCCGTCCTTCAGAAAAACCACTTGGATACAAAACGGGCTTCGGCGTGAATTCTGTCATCAAGCTAAGCCGAGAACCGAGGTATTATTGATTCCAGAAACCTAACCCAGGGTCAGCAGTTTGAAACCCCCGGCTGCTCTGCGAAAGAAAGACAAGCGAGGCTTTTGCCTCCGTCAGGAGTTACGGTCTCTGAAGCCCACAGGCACGTCGGCTCGACGGAAGTGGGTTTCTTTGCTTTTTCTGTGCTGGCGTCATCCTTGGTGCCCGCCAGCCGGGCTGGCCCCAGGCTAGTCCACAGGGCAGTGGGCTGCCAGTGTGCTGGCGACATGACCATCCTTTGGGATGCCGCTCTTGGCTGTCTGAGTCCATCCTGTGAGGCCTGATGACCTTGTATGTCCGAGCTTAACGTGACTCACTTTCAATTGGAAGTCCGTCTCAGGATCTTTCTCCCAAGGTGCCTCTGGGCGGACTCATCAGGCCCCCCTTTGCTTCGCTGCCCCGGGTGTTAGCCAGCCGTGCACCCCCAGGAGCCCCAGGAAGGATGGGTGAACCGTGCTGAGTTCTGCTCACTGCTTTGAGACGTCTGTTCCCGTATGACTGCTGGAGCTTCCGCCCACCGTGGCTCTCCTTGGGCAGGGCGGGTGTAGGGGTCACTATACACAACTCCCATTCAGAACGCAGTCCCCCGCTTCCCACAGAGTGCCTGCTTCGACCCTGCAATGCCCTGAACGCTAGAGCTCTCTCCTCAGGCCTGTGGTGCAGAGGGGGCTGCCCCGCCCTCCGCCCTGCATTCATTGGGGACTGGAGCATGAGGCTTCCTTGTCTGTAAGTGGCCCCCACAGCGGTTCTCTTGCTCCTCTTCCTCTCTGTCTCTTCCCTTTCCACAGTGCCCCCCGCCCCCCCCACCTCACCCCACCCCACTGCAGCACCCTGTGCGCCAAACTCACCGCTGTCCCTAACCCCCCCCCCCAACACCTTAGAATCTCCACACAAGAAAGGAGTGACCCCTGGGCTGTGAGCCACCACGTTCAGAACCCAAACCAAACTCACCCGCCGGGCAGTGGACCCCGCTCACAGCGACCCTACAGGACAGGGTAGAACTGCCCTGGTGGGTTTCTGAGACCGTAACGCTTTACAGGAGCAGAAAGCCTCATCTTTCTCCTGCAAAGCGGCTCTTGGTTTTGAACTGCTGATCCTGTGGTTAGCAGTCCACCCCCAAAGTCAACAGTCAGAAACCACCAGCTGCTATGAGGGAGGAGAGGAGGCTTTCCGCTTCCATAAGGAGGTGCCATTTTGAAACCCACGGAGGCAGCCTTGCTCTGTCCTAGCCAATCAGGGTGGACTTGATGGCAGTACGTTTTCTCTCGGGTCAATGTGGAGCTGCTAACCTGAAGGTCAGCGGTTCAAACCCACCAGCCAGTCCTTGGGAGAGAGACGAGGCTATCTGCTCCCAACACAGTTTACAGCCTCAGAAACCCTAGATCGGGGGGGGGGGGGGGGGGGGGCTGTGCACCAGAATAGGCTCCATGACAGTGGGTTGGGCTGAGCCACTGTCCCTGGCGGGGTGCCATCTTCCAGGGTCCTGCTCCTGCATGGCAAGGTTCTCAGCCGGATCTGACACCCTCCCTCTGGAGCACCGTGAGGAAGGGGTCACAGACCCCGGTGCTCACCACCTTGGGGTCCCACTCCCTCTGGAGACGCCCTTCCACTCAAGCTCCCCCCACCCCACCCCCCAGCCCTGCATCCTGACCTGCTCACGGGATCTCCCGTGTACCTCTTTCATGCCTGTGTACACACATGTCCCAGATGCCAGGACCCAGGTGTCCTTGCCGCTCACACCCTGTCTCTGCTGCCACCACAGGTGTGGGGAAGCCCGGCAGCATCTCCATCGCCCTACCCGCCAGTGCTGCACAGTCACGTGGTCTGACCCCTGGTTGTTCACAGGCGAGTGAACAGGCAGGGGGTGAGACCCACTCTCCTTCACACAGGCACCCGTCCAGAAGTTCACAGAGCTGCCTGTGGGTGGGCCCACTTCACACTCACCGCCTCTCCCCACACCTACCTCACTCCCACAGCCGCACACAGCCCCACACATAGTCACCAGCATTACATGCTCACCCCTCACGCGCACATCTGCACATGCTCGCACACCTCATCCAATTGCTCCTACAGCCTCACACAACCACAGCCTCCCACTTGCGTAGCTTTATGTGCTCACACAGCTTCTCACACACACACACACACAACTCCACACACACAGCTTCACTCATTCACACTCACACAGCCCCACACACTCACATACACCACTACACACACACACACTACGCCACACACACAGCCACACACACTCTCACATACACACACTCACACACACACCACTCCGCACACTCACACACACACACAACTCCACACACACAGCTTCACTCATTCACACACTCACGCAGCCACACACACTCACATACACCACTCCACACACATAGCCACACACACACTCTTACACACACACACACACTCACACATGCACACCATGGCCAGAGCACCTCCAGGGATGCTGGCTCTGAGAGCAGCCCAGGCTCACTCCCTGCACACACAGTCCCCCTCCTCCCCTCACCCCCCATTTGGAGGCTTTCCCCCTACCCGGCTCCCCCCCACCCCTCTGTCAATCTCACCTGGCTCATCTCGGCCAGCCTCAGGGGTTGAGAGGCTGACAAGAAGAGCAGAGAAGCCCAGCACCCACTCACCGAAAGTGCAGTCAGTGCTACCAAAGGGGCGCAGCACCCGAGGAATCCCTGAGCTCTCTTCCATTCCTGACTTCCAACTGGCAGTGGGAGCAGGTCCCTCTCTCAGGTAGAATATGGTGCCGAGTCTTGGGGGGCAGTGCTGGGAGCAGTGGGCACTATGCTCCTTCCTGCCCAGGGGACAGTGAGGGTCTGGGGGCGCCGGGCTGGGTGGCTATATTCGAGCAGCTGTGATGTCAGCAGGAAGGAGGGCCGGGCCTGGGAACGTGCTACAATGGCCCCTTTGTCCCCCTCCCCTCCTCTACTGAACACATTCTCACCACATGCCAGGCCTTGAGCCACGTGACAGCGATGCAGCCACACAAGGCCTGCCCAGGAGCTACTGTCCCCACAGCCCTGAAGGAAGGTACTCTCAGGAGTCCACACAGGCACACACCTGGTCTCTCTCTCTCTTATGCGTGCTACACACACACTCACTCATATACCCACGTGCAGGTTTGCACAGACGGAACAAGAGACAGGTTCACCCCCTGGCCTGAAACGGTGCTGCTCGGCGTGGTAGTCACACGGGGCTATTAACATCAGTTAAATGTCAGTGAAATTAAAAGTTGGGGTCCTCAGCCAAGCTGGCCACATTCCAAGTGCTCAGGGGCCACATGTGACTCCTGGCTGTCTGCTTGCCCACCACAGGGACAGAGCCGTCCCTGAGCCAGGCACGCACTGTAGTTCACACTCTTGGCCAGGTTCACCAGGGCGGGTGCACAGGCTTCGGGCGCTGTGCGGCTGGCCTCTGTCCTCAGTGAACTCTCTGGCCTGGTGAGAATAACGCAGTGCCACAAGCCAACACCTAATGGTCACAAGCCGCAGGACACAGACCAGGATGGATTTTTGTCCATGGGACATTGGAGGGTTGCCCGGAGGGTAGATGGGTGGGCAGACAGACTCGGCCTAGCAGTGGGGCCCTGTGGTGTGCAGGCAGGAAGTTGGTCACCCGCTTTGACCAATGGGATAGGTACAGGCCAGGGAGTGGGAGAGGCGCAGTGGCCAGGCTCAGGTTGGTGCCGGATCCCCACGGCAACAGGTGGGGATATGAACCAAGAGCCAGGCCTGATGGAGGTTACCTGGGCAACGTACCTGGCACAGCCAATCAATCATGGAATGATCAAGCAATCAGTAGGAACCACAAAACTTTGGATATTTGCGTAATAAACAAACCTTTATCTATGTGCCGTAATTTCTTTTACCCTCTCTGAGCGAATGCTTTCTACAGCCCTCCCGGAGCCTGCGGTTGATGAGCAGTGATGAATTATTAAAGTTCATCATGGATCGCTGCGGACACTTTGTCAGTCACGCATGAGCAGCCACAGGCTTGTCCATCGCTGCGCAGACCCCGGGCAGGGACAGACGTGTCCTTCTCTCTGAGGTCAGGCCCGGAGACGTGGGGTGAGAGGGATGGACAGACAGCTGTCATATTTCCTCTGCTTCCATGTCTCTGGACATCTTCTCTGACCCCCACAGCCCCTGACTCTTTCCCCCAGCTGTCCCCACACTGCAGGCCCTTCCCTGAGCCTGGGCCCTTCCCTTTGGCTCTGCAGGCTCCCCAGCAGGCAGGAAAGGGCAGGCAGAGGGCCAGAGAAGCGGGACAGGAGGGAGGAGAAGGGGGAGAGGAGGAGAAAGCGCTTCTTTTGAAAGGAAAGGATGAGGATTGGACAGGTGTCTGGGGCCAGAGAAAATGACACCCTCCCACTCCCAGCCCCGCATTTGGAAGGTGGAGAGAGACTAGGACGTGCTCCTCCAGGGGTGGGGCTGCCATCCTTTCAGATCACACCCTGCTCGCACCTCCAGCTCGCCAGGGTCCTGGGGAGGCGCTCTGAGGCCTGGGCTGCCCTGTGCTCCCCTGGGAGCCCAGGATCATCAGCTGGGAGTCTTTCTTCTCTTGGGGCTCCTTGAAACCTTGGGAGGCTCATGCCCGGCTCGTTCCCCAGTCGGCAGTAGCTTGGGATGGGGAGAAGGAAGACGAGGCCAGATGTCCTTCCACTCTTGCCCAGCATGCCAGCCTTGGGTCCAAGGAGCAGTGAGGCGTGGCCAAGGGGCCTCCTGGGACTGGACTCATCCCATCCAGTGGGACCTCCTGGTTGTCACATGAGCTGAGCTTCCTCCTCCCCAGGGTGCCCTCTTAATTCTAACCCAGTCCTATTTCTGGTCCTCCATCCCCCAACACTATTGGCTGCTCACAGCAGGTAAGAGGGCAGGGACAGTGGAAGGCTGTCCTGGGAGGCAAGTGGCAGTCATGAGGCCAGAACACCCAGAACCCTGAACCCATGCGCGTGCATGTGCGTGCGTGCGTGCGTGTGTGCGTGTGTATGCATGCATGTGCATGCACGTGCGCATGTGTCTGAGCATCACAGAGAAGAGCTACGGGGCTTATGAGAGAGAACAATTAAGACTGGAGAGGAAGCAAAGGGTTAAGGGATGAGAAGGGCAGGTGGGGGGAGGGGCTGGGGTTCAGGAAGGGGAAGGAGGGCAGGGGCTGGCCAAGGGCAAGGAAGAGGTGAGCCCACTCCCTCCAAAGCCCCTCCCCACATCACCCCCTCCCCAATTCCAAGGAAGGCAATTAGGAGGCCAGTGCAGGTATGTTTGGGTCATTTCCACATGCTTTTATTCCAGCAATCAAAATAATTAAAAACATCTCAAATTATTATACACATACAAAACAGGTACAGTCTCTTGCTTCCTCCCACCCCTAGGGGAAAAACTGCTTTGTGCTTTGGAAAGTTGTGCTCTGAAACCCAGCGAGAGAGAGAGAGAGAGAGAGAGAGAGAGAGAGAGAGGTGGTGAGGATGGGGTGCAGCCACAGCAGAGAAGTC